AACCTCACAGCGATTTAATCACGTTTTTACTCTAAACTCAATACTACATTCACATATTACGCCGAAGCGAAGACATTGTAGCGCCAGAAACGGTTAACGCATCGAGCTATTGGCGAAAATCTTAAAGGACGGTAAAATACTGACGTTTTTCGGCAACGTTTCACCACACGTGGCCGTTAAACTCCTTAATTACAAATGCGATAAAAACCTCGAGAAATTTCACCCCGGCATCCCGGGGTTGTAAGATTGTATGTAAACGCGGGCTTTTTATCGACCTCGGCTAGGCGGATAACCTCACCCACCTGGGGTCCCCCACATCCGTGTAAACAGGCCCTAACTTTAAATCTCTAAGAAATACCTCAGTACAATCTTATTAGTTGTAGGTTTTTGATGAGTAAATTACGGCGGCTGAAAATATACTTCCTCAAAGAAGAGAGGTAGTTATCAGCGGAAATGGAAATTATTTTACCAGGCTGCTTCTCTTTAGGAATGAAACAAGCGATAAGAAACACGAGGAGATCAATATTTTGAGGTCCAGTTTGTTTCGGAGAGATCCAAAGGATTTTGAGATGCCGCTCCTCGCTATTTTTAACTACAAACACTGTCGCGGTTTATTCAACACTAAAATTTTCTTCGGTGATGTCTTTGGCTAATTTAAGTGACTAATCTTCGTATTTTATTTTAACTGCACTATTCCTTTCAATGAACCGCTCAGTAGCTGACGCATTCCACGGAATAGCCTTCAGGCGTATTGTTCTGTAAATAAAACACACAACCAACAATTCCTCTATTTATTTACTATTACGAAGGGCTAATGCTCGAAACATCAGCTTTACAAACTCTCCCCACTTGAGGGCATACTGCGCCATGTTTCTTACTGGTGTTTGTTTCCGACAGCTGTAGATGTCCTTGATGTCACTATTGAATACGAGTATGGGTTAGAATCGGAAAGCAAGGCGGTTATTAGAGGCAGGAATGACCATGTATGCGAAAGCAATCCAGACTTCTGCAACCTTCCCGCCGGTGGTAAGGTGTTTTGAAGCGAAAAAAATAATACAAAATGAAACTTTATGCGGATAGACCATCGGCTGTTATTTATTTACTAGCATGTCTATTTTTTCCCAGAAACTCAAGTGAAGACTATTTCTAAGAAATTAACAGAACTTCCACCAGTTTTGAAGGTAATCAATTAATAAATAGGTGTTCAACCAGCCATGTGTTTACAGTGCTTGAGATTGTTATAAGGTGGCTCTGCTGCGCTCTTCCTATGTTTTTTTATTTGTTTGTTTGTTTGTCTCTTTGTTTGAAATTTTTTCTATCTTTATCTCTATTCAGCTTACTATTTCACCAAATAGGTGAGCTTTGATACCCAACAACCATTGGTCCCGTATCCATATTTACAGTGATTTTCTGCAAATGATAGTGATAATGATGATGATTTTCATCAATGTTCGTGTCATAGTGGTCGTTGCTTCTACATAGAAGCAAGACAGAGCAATCTATGCGTTTACGTTAAAGAAATTCTTCTTTTGTTTTCATTCCTCAAACCATTAGATGCTGACCGTTAAAGCAAGAAATCAACTTTTCAATGAAGAGTATATCATGTTTCTCTGTGTTGATGCGGTGTTCAAAGTGTACTAAAAGGCAAGAATGAGTAGCTGACTCTCGAGGAAGAGGACAAATTAAAGAAATAGATTAGACTGTAGGATGGAAACGTTTTGGTGTTAAAACTGCGAAATGTCTCTGACACCAACGACCTTATAACATTTATTAAAAGAATTGTCAACGATAAACCTACCTAGGGGAGTGTAAACTGGTAATCAGCTATACCCCACCCTTAAACAACGAGTGCGAATAGACAAGACGGGGTAATATATGACTTCAGAATAGAATCGAACTGACGACCTGTTTACAAAGTGAGTCACTTAGATATTTAGTAATCAAAAAGAGTCATCTTGAAACAAACGATACTGTAAGACAAGGTCTCAGAGTCAAAACCTAATAAACAATACTAATAAATTGAATACTTATCAGGTAAATTAGTGATCGATGTTTTACATCTACTACGTCAGCTTGTGTAAACCTCCAAGTTAGTGCAAAAGGGAGATAGACAGCTCATAGGAAAGAAAAGAGAGGGGCTGGGTGGGTGGGTTAGTTTATTAATAACTGTTCAATGTCCAAAGTCATTGATGACCAAGAGAAAGTAAATGTTCAAACTACTTTCACGCAACAGTTGCAAACCCAGTTATCCCAGATTAGATTGAAACGCCCCAAAGAATTAATCATTTGAAAGTAACCTGAGCAATGTTCACTGGTTTTATTTTTCGTTGACCACGTGAACTGAAAAACATGACATCCATGGCAACGACGAACGACAATAAAGGTCGACATGGTCAAAGAAGATCTCTCACTTTCCCATTAAGGCTTCAGTGGACCTTGTAGAAAATTGGGAAAAATCTTTTAAGTCATGCGAGGTAAGAGATTATAAACTTTCAGTCAAGGCTAACACAAATCAGTATTTTTCACAAACGGCTGAAAGTAGGCTGTGAGAGATTCCTAGGGGTTGGTAAGGAAAGGGATACTGGGGACAAAGTTGGTTTGAGTCCGCTGTGACCACGAAATGAACCAGCCTTGAATATAAAACAAGAATCAAAAACGGGTTGCAATCAGGAGAGAGGAACAATTCGCACGAATGAAAGGAAAAAAAAAAAAGCAAAGTCTACCATTTGAATTAAAGAGATATACCAAGGGTGCAAAAGAAGCGGATTAAGCTTTTGGACTCTTAATAGGCACATTACACTCGGTGCTTCCTTCAAAGTCCGAGAGATCAAGCAAGCGCATATGGCTAGACTTGAGACGTTCTCAGCGTAACTCCTTGATTGGCGATCACTGGGCAATATAATGCTCTATGATGAAATAAGACCACAGTAAGGGACAAAAAGGTTACAACAATGAGCTACCACCTTTTTTCAACTTTAACAAACTGCACTTATTGCATTTCACCTCCTTCCCCCAAAAGAGGGCCGTGCCTCTAATCGCTTATACTTATCTTGTGCGTACACAAGATCAGATAGGGAAAGGGGGAAAGGGAGAGGGGGCAGGGGGTGGGGGGCAAGGGGTGGGGGGCTGCTTATAGAAATGTATGAGAAGACAGATGCCGTAAGAGTAAAAGGTGAATTTATTTTCATTGTGGCAGTTTAAATTAAGTATCTATACAACTTCAATCGGCGGCCTATCGTATATCATATACCAGACTTACACTTGTTATCCTATGTTCTACTTAAATATGTCCCTACCGTTCTCCTCGAGCGATTGAGCAGCTAAATGATTAACTAATTTCGTTTTTTATCATATTTATGATGAAATTATTTTTATGAGAGATGTAAGGATAGCTTCTGCAAGAAAATACTTTTTCTCCTCCACTTTGCTCTCGCGTTTCTCCTCATCTTTCACTTGGTCGTTATCCCTTCTTCGACTCAGTCTAGTGTCCCTTAGCCACGCCATCAAGACAAAGAAACATAACATCATCCTGGTTAAAAAGTTGCAGTCTTCCATGAACGGTCAGCATCTGGTAATTCAAGAGAAAAAAGAAAGGAGTTTGCCTTTCAATCGGGCGCATATATTTATTTAACCTGTTTCTCGTTTCTTAGCACTATGACTTACGCAAATCAACCAGAACTTAATCTAATGCTCATTAGTGCCAAGAAAAAGTTAATAATAATTGAATGGCCAGAAAACAAGTACTGTGATAAAAACAGAAAAAATAAATGTGAATAGACGCTAAGGATTATAATCAGGGCAAAGAGCGAGGAATTCAAGGAGGCTTGAAACTCACTCATGTCACTAAATCGATTACCTTGAAAAATGATGGAATTGCTCCCAATTTATCTGAGTAATTGAACACGTGAGTTTCTAAAAGAAAGAAACAAGTAGATCAGGAAAGGGTACAGAAAAACAGGAGGAAATAATAGTTATTAGCATCAGCAATAAAGTAGCATCAACAACAATAGCAACAAAGCGTCGAAATAAATCATCAGCTCAAAATTAATGCTTTTTTCTTCTAGTACAACTGACATTTTAAGTCGTGACTTTTCTCAGAGAATGTTTATTTACACAAAAGATCTCAAAAATCAATTTTGATGCAAACAAGAATACTTTGAATTTTTTCCAGATGTTCCTTTGGAGATAAACTGTAAGTGGTTTGACTGATAAGAAATCCATCGTGGCGTTTTAAGATACAATATAACGATTTGGCTTGGATATATATCTAAATGTTCAAATTTCACGATTCGTGAGGAACAGTGCCTGTCACAGCAGCAAGCCACCATCAGGAAACAGCGATGGCCTAAAATTTTTCAAGGTGTAGATAGATCTAAAGGGAAAGCCTTTATTTTAGTGCTAGAGTCCTAATTTGAATGGAGGAAAGGAAAAACCTTGTGTATTCAAGTATTTCCAAAAAAGGGAGTGTTTATGAAAAAAGTCTGACTTCGAAAATCATCCATCAATCTTCAAATGGCCTGAAATCAACCTTTCACCGTTGATAGTTAAAATATCCCCCTCCAATTGAGATCCTCTCCGTTCTTTTGGCAGGACAAGAGATTGAGTGCAGAGCTGCATATCGACCACAGGAAACCATTACGCATGTCCATGCTAAAATGACAGGCGCGTTTGAACTGACTGTGTCCAAGAGCTTCTACTGTCATCAGCGTTCTTGTAATTGGGCGTTTTTAGTATGCATGATTTGTCAAAACGTTTCAAAGAGTATGCGTTTTTAAAAGAAAACGAAGGGATGGGAGATCAGATTTGGCAAATTAAAAGATCAGAGCATAAACTGTTGAAGTTTCAGTATTCTGTTCCTGTATAAGAAGATTCTAGACTCGAATAAAACAGAAGGTCGACGCATAGACAGATCAGTCAAACTTACTTGATCTGCCACTGCATTAACAGCTTTATCAATTCTGAACCGAGCATTACATTTTCATTCTGATCATTCATATACCCTACTTACCATCTGCAGGTAAGCTGCATAATTCTTGAAAATCTGCATTTTTGCAAAAATTTTCCCTCCCCTTGAGGATAACCTTTCCGTCCGATTCTGACTTTAGTATGTATTTCGAGTACGCGTCAAGGACATCAACCGCTGAAGAAGAAAAGGATTAGCCATTGATAAGGTATAGTCGAAGCTCGCGTAACCAGGAGTTTAAAGGAGAGCAGCTTTTATGCTAAAGTTGTACCATTGCGATTATTGTGCCCCATTTACTGAAACAAGTCTGAAATAAATTTGAATTTTGAATGGCAAATTCTTCTTTAAACTTTCTACCGTTAAGTTCCAGTTTTAACAGTGTATCGACACTTTTTCTTGTCGTTATGTATATGAATTCCCTTTCCTTTAGCTCAGCTTTCTTTCTTTTTTTTCTCCCTTTACGCAGCATTGTGCCAATGTTTTTTTTCATTCGCTCTCTAAAGAAACCCTTAGAGCCTCACTAAAAATATAATTTTAAATACTATGTAATATTTAACTGAGAGCGAGGGTCGGACGGGAAAATATTCGGGTCGAGGTCATGACTTACGGACTGACCGCTGAGGATCGAAAAGTTCGAAAATTTCTTTTCAACCAAAATAGGACGCGACAGACGAGCGCGCGCGGGACAACCACAAATAAATTCTACAATGAAAAAATTTCCTTTATTCTTTTGAATCAGAACAAGACACTCGTAATTCATGGAAAAACACGACTTTTGTAACTCTTTTATAGCTTTGCAGCTGAAATCGCGGACGGTAAACGACATTGCTATAAATCTTGAAAGCACATTCACTTTGCAAATATCTTTTTTTTATATAAATATGATTTTCATTAAACACCTCAATGAAAATCCACTTAGTTTGTCGCTACAATTTTCTTGAAGCAAAAACATGCCAACTTTTCATTCTCAGCGAGTACTTTAGGGAATTCTAGTCGAGAATTACTGAAGCTCTTTTATTTCAACCGCGCAGCGAAAAATAAAGGCGTAAGACAGAGCAACCAGTTACCTAAACTGAGTTTTAAATGAAAGATTTGATCATGCTAAAATAATGAAGCATTTGTCGTTGTTTTTGACGTTCAAGTGTCCTCTTGCTTTTCTCCCAACCAAAGGTCTTTAAAAAATGAAATTCTAAGAATTCGCCTTGTGTGGCGCCATTTGATAAGGAGGAAAGATGTTTCATTTTCTATGGGTTTACAGGTAAATGTACAATAGATTTCTGACCAATCAGAGCACGCGTTATGTCTAAATCATGTTATAATTCTCTTTAGTTCTGTAATCAACTTACCGGGGGTTAGTGTTACACTTACAGTGGCGAGAGTTCCAGTCGCTATAAAAGGCCATGGAGATATTTTGATTTTTGCTGTATGGTCATGAAAGCCTGTCGACAAATCGAAACTTTCACTGAAAGTGTCATTATTGTGTTCCATACCATCTTAAAAAGGCTGGTAAACTCGTCAGAAAATCATGATCATAAAAACTTTTTAACTCATTGAAATATAATGACCAGGCGACTGTCTTTGCTGAAGAACCAAAAATGATTTTCCCACATTAAAGCTTTTAATAAACGCATGCATTTGACTCTATCTTTAACATCTTAGATGACTGACGGAAAAATGATGCAGCACAACAAAAACTCAGGAAAAAAGAGACAAGCTAAATCTCCTCTTCCCCTTTTTGTAACGGTTTTGCTCGTCTGATTGTTGAAGTTTTCTAATGGACTGCTTCGGGGTGGAGAGATTTATTAATTGCGTCACAATGAGATCTACCTTATCTCCCTGTAAAGCTCTGAAGTGTTGTAATGATCCTCTCTCATTGGCCGTCAATAATCTCTAGCCCCCCATTTATTCCCTTTCAGCGACGACTGATCCCCCCCACATTAGGTGTTAAATAACAACTGGTCGCCCCTGCTGCAAGCTGCAAGCCACTCCAGACTTTGATGCCTTATTGCACTTAGTCGAATGCGTACCGCCGACTACCCTTTCCTATCCTGTTTTAATAACAGGAAAATGTTCAGAGTTCACTGAAACAATTTCAATAAAAATGAAATGAAACAACTAACCATCACAGATCGACGCATTTTTAAATTCTATTCCCGAGGGATATCCTGCTCCTCCACCGATAACGAAAAGGAACAAGTTCAAGGAGATAGTTCGCCACTGCTGAGTGACTGAAATCATCATTTTCTTTGTATCCGAGAAGTGGATAGCAATATCTGTGGAAAAGAGTTAATTTTGATGTACGACGCAACAAATCTTTCTGATGAAAATAAAAAACCTTCACCTATTATTCCTAGCAACCTGGTAAATTAAAAGGAAGCATGTAAAACAAGTACGTTAGTAAAAACTGAGTAACTTTTCTGAGTGTTATGCGTATTTGTAGGAAGACAAGTTAATTTTTATTAAAGTTAATGCTTCGATACTACTGAGATAAAATCTATGGATCGAAAGTTGTCCATAAGGGACCTACAGAAAATTGTAATGTGATAAAAACAAACATCCTCTCGATATAAATATCTACAACCCTCTTCATCAAGTAGGTTTATCTATAAATTCAGAAATTGTGCTCTATCTTTGCAGTGAACCGTGTCTTAAATAAAGGGGTAAGTTTCTAAAGAAACTGTGGTGCTGCGTCGGTGGGAGAGTATAGCAAGTAATTTAGTGTTAACAACTGAGTTGAAAACGTGATTTAGCCACCGTAAAGTGTGAAAAAGGTGACGTTTCTAGCGTTAGCCCTTCGTTAGCCCTTCGTCAGAGCGAAATAAACGAAAATTGAAACCCCTCTCAATCCTCGTGACAGGAAATGAATGATCACTTTGGTAAAACTATTGACAAAATATGTTCAAGTCATAACCGATGGAATTAGCAGAATCAACTGAAAATTGCCTGTGCATATCTAGCAGCGTTTGTGCGAGATATGTTTATCTTTTTGTCTATAAAATGACGAATCATATTTCTTCTCAGGAAGGAACATAGGAAAGAAATGCATTAATGTGTTGTGAGTCGAAAGTCGTGGTACTCTATGTTAGACTTAGCTCAAAATCCAGTCTATTCCGTTTTCTTTCCTGATATTTTCAATTTTGACTTTCCCTGAATCATTCATATCTCGACCTTAAATAAAAACATGACGAACTCATACAGGTTTAATTACTTTGACTATTCAGACACGGGCCTTAAATGTTTATTTCCCGCGCCCGCCTCTACTTACTATGAAGAACTCTCAAATTCCTCGTGCATCGACGCTTTCCTCAGTTGAAATTCAGTTGAATTGAAAGATCACTTACCTTTTTATTCAGGTGTTCTTCAACGAGCCTTTATCGATCTCTTGTCGTAATCAAGATTTGTGACATTAACTACAATTTAACAATAGTTCCAAACCTATCATTATTTTTCAATCATTGTGCAAAAAATCTAACCGGAAGCGAAAGTAAGAAAGATTAGCTCATGAACCAAACAGGAAGCAACCTCGTTCAGTAGTTCTTCTTACGCTCTTCCTTATTCGTAAAAATGTTTGTAAAAAAGTTTTTTTTTCGATTTGTTTATTTCATACGGCCAAGGGTACGAACGGGATGTTTTATTATGGAATATATAAGCGGTGCATAGAAAATATAATACAAAAAGTGTTTGAAATCATGCTTGAAAATCATCTTGATCCAAAGCAGAACAAACGAAAGTAAGAAAGCTTAGTTCATGAACCAAACAGGAAACAAACTCTTCAAATAACTGTTCGTTCAGCACTTTATTGGGAACAATGCTAATTGGGCGTTAAAAGAAAAAGACGCTCTTCCTTAATGCAAAAAGTGTTTGAAATCATGCTTGAAAATCATCTTGATCCAAAGCAGTACAACCACACTTGATGTAATTTTCCGCTTTGTAAACGATGTACATGCAAATGAGATTCGGGTCGAACACGAAACAGTTAATTAACTTAACTACGTTCGTTGTCACTTATTTATTCATTCTCACTTGACAACTTGAATTTCTTTGTCTCTCAAACTAGAAGATCGCGTGCAAGATATCAACATGAACAATCCTGAGTGTTGAAACAACAACGCTTTGCGTGCGTCTATGTCAACATTTGTCATTGTGTCACGGAACATGACAAAGCGTACTTAAAATCATTGCGGTTTCCTTAATTTACGAAAATTCAAGACACTGACGTCGACACTTCGGGGTGATACTTGAAACAGCGATGGTGTTTAATCAGATTTGAATATATCTCATATGAATGTATCGTCTTCACATAGCTATGTTTTGTTCAGGTCTTATTTTATATCAGTTAGAAATACTCTCTCGCAGGCAAGTCACAAATTCATTAGACTCTCCTTCAATATTCAATATCTTTATGGTGCATTAGTGCGAAAAAAGTATGCTAATCTTTACTTTCGATCCTTTCTCTAAAGGAATACACGTCACAATTTTGAACTGCAGGGTGGTTCTGAATGTAAAACGTCCCATGAACTTGATGAAGCACAATAAACTCAGCCGACCTAATTCAATTCAGCGTGAGACATCGAGTTGATAACAACGTTTCGCTATTCAAAGAGGTCAGTTGTTGACTCATTTACCCGTGCGGAACGTTTAGGTGAGTCTTTTGATGCATAAATTGTTTATTTATGTACACCCTTTTTTATTATAAGAACAATTAACTTTTGGCTGAGGCTGAATTTTGTGACTTGAGCCTGAACGGTGCGTGGTACAGAATATCATAACTCAATCTCGACGTGACTAGGAATCCTACAAAATGAGTTGCTCTTCAGTGTATCGTGCGATAAGAATACCGCAACATTAGTTTGAAAACAAAATCCCTAAAAAATTTAAGTCGATTGTCTTGTTAGACCACAGTTCAAAAAAAAAAATTAAAAAAAAAAGAAGAAAAATAAAGACGTTCTTAGCTGACTTTCAGGCTAGGCATGTTCTTATATGTTGTATATATGTTAATTTCAGCCTATGCTTATTTTATGAAAAAAAAGAAAAGAGTGTAAAGTAAGCGCTTACTTCCTTTCCCACATCTGGGTTTGGAAACTCAGCGAATAATACGGCCCAAAGGGTGTCCGAGATACAAGGACTCGAGTTGTAGCACGCGTTTTACGATATACTTTTTCTTCAACTGAAATTATCGCTGTTATTGTGCGCAATCTAGCTGTAAAGTTCAATGTGTCTTGAAAGTGACCTACAGAGCACACTTTCGAAAAAGAAAGCTGTATCGAAAAGCACAGGTTTCTTTCTAGAAGCATTGAGGATCATCAAAACTGAAACCGTACTGACTGGTAAACACTCTATGTGATCTTTCTCGTAGGCTTGGTTACTTTCTTTAAATCCGCAACGGTGTTTGAATCATTAGTGTAGTTATTTAAAAATCAAGTTATTTTTGATCCCAGCAGATTACTATGGACTCAGTAATGATGTTTATTGGCCTGATACAAGTTATCTTGGTCTTGTGGATTGTAACACCTTGCGAGAGTGATGTTTGCAGCCAAAAATTTTGTCAATGTACCAATTTCGGTAGGACCCGTGTAGTAGTTAAATGCCAAGTTCATGGATACATTCCGAATGGAATCCCAAGCAATACAATTGAACTGTAAGTGATTAGAAAAACTAAACCTTTCTTCACAAAGGGAACTGAGTTATGGTTTAAGCTATGTTTGCCATTTGAAAGCAGTGTTTGGTTTATCTGTTGAATTAAAAAAATAAATATATATATAAAAAAAAAAACACATTTACAAATTTACCAATCAGTAACACACATCTGTAACCTTTGTTTAGTTTTCTAAAGTATGTTTTTATTAACTTTCTAGCATAGCTTCATGCTTTTAAAATGATAAAAGTGTTGCAACTAATTTTCTTGTCGATTTCTGCATTAGAAACCTTTCGAGTTGTTCCTTAAAGTCGATTTCAGAAGACTCCTTCAGGAACCTAACTGTTTTAAAATTACTGTAAGTAAATAATTTTAAAGTATGGGATAGATTCAGGTTAAATCAAAAGGCTTGCATAATTATTGTTATTGTTATTGTTATTGTTATTGTTATCATAATTATCACTATCATCGTTGCTATTATTATTGTAAGCTTTTTATGAAATTTAAGAACCGTTAGACAGTATTGAAGGGAAAGACCAAATAGTGTAAGCTTCGCCGTAAGTATTAGAGATCTATATTTATCCGCTACAGCCCATGAATTTTTCGAGAACAATAGACATTTTGCGCGATGATATATTTGTAGTAACGTTTACATTATGCATGCTTACCTGTTATCGAAATTGGGTGACAAGGTTGCCAGAATTTAAAACCCGGATAAATCTTCCAGCGGAAACAAATAGTCATTTGACTACTGGAGCGCTGCTTGGAATTTCAAAAACAATCAAAATTTGTCAAAACACTGAGTCTGAAGGTAGACTTGAGAATTCTAAAAGCAGAGTTGAGAAGTTGACCAGACATTAAGCATTCAGATACCCACCACAGAACAAAAGAAATATAGTTTTTTTTTTATGGAGAGAATTTCGGAGTTTTAGCACTGTGAGATTTTACTGATTATCTGTAAGCTTCTTGAAAAAAAAAAAAAGAAAGAAAAAAAAAGAGAACCAAAACTATATTAGTCAATCTGAATGAAGTATTTTTTATCATTTACTTTCATGTACAAATGTTTAAATGGAGTGCAGTAAATGGAAGCAAATTTTGCATGTATTCTAATTCGGCAAGCTTTGATCAATAATTGTAATAAACTTTTTTCATTCTAGTGACTTGTCGAATAACTTATTACGACGCATTCCCTACAACACTTTCAAGAATATGGATAAGCTGGAAATAATGTAAGAATTTGTTTGTCCGTTTAAAAGCATCTCCTGTCCACAAATTTTCATAAAATCTTGTCAGCGTCTGTCTTTTCTCTATTCCCAATCCCTTTAATTTATAATTGTGAATCTATTTACTGTTTCAAAATCTTAAGCTAAAAGTAACTAAATATATAAATTTTAGATTAACGATGTGATGTGCAATTTCTGACCTTCATATTTTTGGAACTTACAATTGTTTCCCTAGAAATCTTGCCGACAACCTAATTTCAGGGAGTTTCTACCTTCCGGAAAGTGTATCTCAGCTGTGAGTTTTGTTAACGATATATTTTTGAAAAGATAGAAGAAACATATTAAAATTCGCAACTGATTTTTATCCTTACATTAAATTGTAGCTTTTTTTTCAGATCGTCCTTTTTTTCTTTACATCGCAAGCAAACACAGAAGACCTTCGATAAATGTGATGCAAGCAAATACGAATTTCCTCTTTCTCTCTAAAAAAAGACCGTCAGGTCTGCACCTTAAGCTGTTAGTTAATGTGAAGCAATCGAAATAAAAGTGAACTTGTCATCTTTGTGTCCTTTGCAAAGTATTTACCCAGTATATCGGGAGAACATTTACGGTGTTTGTTGGCTTATGTCTCTTACCTAATGGACGTTTTTCAAAATGTTTTCAAACTTAGTAAATTCATTAAAAGTCAATGCTAAATATTTTACTTGCCTAGCGTTATCAAACACAACTTTCTATCAAGTACTGACGCAAAAGTCATTCTCAAAGGATTAAAACGGCTTCGAAAACTGTAAGTACGACCTTTTATCCTGTTCCACATGCTTAGAGAATCAATAATATATGTCGTACAAGTAAAAGGGAAAATAAAGACAAATATGAACGTATGGAAGTATGGACCCGTAAGCCTAGTCCACGATCCAGTTCTCGTTAACTCACTGCCAGCGAATCGGAGGGGGGTATCCGAAAGTATTGGTTTAAATATTTAATGAAAAATTGATTTTTTCTCTATAGATCCACGCTCGTGATGATAATAATAACTGCTTTCTCTGTTCTAAGTTCAAGCTCAAAACTTACCATATTTCTTTCAGAAGTGTCGCAATTTTTTAAATAATGATATTTTTTTATTATATATATAATCTATCGCAGTTACTCATCTTGAATACCTATGTCTTGTCTATACACGAAACGGTGAAACTTTATCTAACAAGGATATCCTGCTCACTGGGCACTTTTACAGGGATATTGATTCAAATCCACTCGGACCTACTTTGCCATCCGACATGTTCGCTGGCTTTAGTAAGATGGATATTCTGTAAGTTAGTAGCTCTAGAAAATTCTCGAATGATTTCGAAACTTGTTACAAAAACGCCGAGTGCGAACGTGATCAGTCACGTGCATGCTTGACTACTCTCTCACTGTTCCTTTGAGATAACGTCCCTTGTTTTAAAAAGTTTAAACGTTTTTGCCCAGCGTTTTGCTTCCGAATGTTGTTTATTTAGCCAACTGATTTGTGCTCCTTTGGGTCGATTCGGCTTTTTCTCTTTCGACTAAGTGGCCATACCGATAACTACGCCTCAAATTAAATGATTATTCGTTTTAAAGTGTCTGCTATCACCAGATCATGTTTCGCACGAGTTACAATCAATTTGATAAAGCTGGATCAACGTAGAAAGTTGCGTTATTTTCTTGCGGGTTCAATTTTACAGAGAGTGAAAACAACAAATTTTAAATGAAATACATGTTTTTCACCTCTTTAGAGGTTGGCTGCCGTTCTGTAACAAAACTGTTTTAAACTACTGGTTCAATAATCTCCCCTCGCGATCCAGCTCTTTCAATAAAATTCTTGACTATTAAAATATGACTTAGGAATGGTGTTTGTACTTTGGCTGAAAAGAAAACAAAAACAAAAACAGAAAAGCATTGGAAGTGACAGAGAATTCATTAGTGATAGACTTGTCTCATAAATCTGTTGTTAGAACTTTCCATAGTTACATTGTTTGACAGTTTCTACTCTTTCCTTCACTTCAAACTATTTCGCGACTTTTTTTCATAGCTCCATGAGAGGCTGCCACCTGGAAGATATCGAAAATGGAACATTTAGAGCCATGAAAAATCTTACAGACCTGTGAGTGAATTTTTTCTTGGATATTTTTATTGATTTTTCAGATGTCCGAGCGATTGTACGCGGTATGCGTCATGAGAAGAGCGGTCCGAAAGTTATATGTAGATAATGTTAACTAGATCAAGAAGTTGTGTTTTATTTTCTGTTGTGCAAACACTTCTCGTGACGTTTGACTTAGGCAATCTTAGCAGGTTTATTTTGCCGAAACTTTTCTAAGCCCGACCATCCACAAGTCATTATACATTTGTCCGTTTTTAGTGATCTGTCCTTCAATAACCTGACTCATATACACAAGGGTACGGTGGAAGGACTTACGGATCAGCTGACAAATCTGTAAGTAAATCGTCGCTAAGGAACACCGTTATTTACAGAATAATAAGAACTTACTAAAAAGAAATTTTCAGGAGACCGCGATCGTTTCTATGGGCAGTGGTTTAAACCACGGATAGTACCTTTGGTACCGCCTTGTTTATTTCACATTTGAATAGATGGGCTGATTGACTTTCATATGCATCTATGCAAAGCAGAAGCAATACGACCCTTCTTCCCTCCTCCCCCCTCGCCTCCACAGACAAAAAAAAAAAAAAAAAAAAAAAAAAAAAAAAAAAAAAAGAACTGTTTTGACTCTTCTAACAATTGATAGGTACCTTGACGGAAACGAATTAGAGACCATAAGTGATGGAACGTTTAAACAGTTTAAAATTCTCCAAAGATGGTAAGTGAGACACCAAGTGCAAGATTAACAACTATTGTAAACCTGAAATGCTTATATCTATACCAAGAGGATATGACCAGTTTTTTTTTACGGCCATGTCGCCTCTTGCCCTGAATCCGGAGTCATTTCGCCCAGTTTTTTTTTTTTTAGTCACAAGTAAAAACATCGAAATGACATATCCTGCTTTGTTCAACGCTTGATCGGGAGTAGCACTAAATAGACGTAAGTTCCCAATCAAACGCAGAAGATTAAATAATGTATGACAGGAAGAAGAGGAAGGAAAAAAAAATACTGAAGAAATGAAACATTATTCTAGTTCGACATGACCGCTTGAAGTGGATAAAGTTTAAACCTATTGTGGTAAAGATGTCATGAATTAAAAACCGGCCGGAATTATGCTATTTTAAAAGTTATCTTTTAGTTTGCACTGAAAACGTTTTGCTATGCTTTATATACTATACCCTGTAGCTCCTTGCTTGTTGACCATATATTATCGAGGCCCAGAGAAGGACATTGCTAATTGCTAAGAGAAACACGGTAGCGTTTTGCTCATTTGCTTTTTTCTATTGCTGTTTGTACGATTTCTACAGCACTCTTCGATGGAACAATCTAACATCTGTACCAGATTTGACAGGTCCTATGGTTTTTGTAAACCTGTAAGTATGGTGCGTCCTAAACTTCTAAACTTCAAACTACCCAACCCCCCTTCTCTCCAGGCAACCCACGGTCATTTGACCGTTGCCAGTGCCCGGTGGGATTTGGAACCTTGCTTTGTTGGGGTGGGCAAATTTAACCAGAAGTGTTAAGTCTTTCCAGTGGAATACAAGTGTTCAATCTTTAAATACGGAGGTGAACGTTTAAGGCAAATAGTTCCTTTTTGAGAAGGAAATGCTCAGAAGAAAAGGTCTACGAAGTGTAGGCTTTAAAGCTTGGTCAATATGTAGAGAGTCTTGGTCGCTGCGCAAGAAAAAAATAAAAAATGGTTGCGGCGTTTGAACATAACTTTTGCTCCGGGGGCGGGAATTTGAAGAAACCAATCTTCATAAGTTCGAAAACCCGGGGGTGCCTGGGGAGAATGTTAAAACTTCAATTACACGGCCTCTAGAGATTACAAACTGGTTTATCATCTCCGAACGCCCTTTAATGACAACTGGTAAAGATGGTTATTGTATTATTTCCTTCTATTGTTGGAAAGAACCACTCGGTGTTTTTAGTTTCCACATTTTCGTGACTTTAATCACCCTTGCATAATCATATTCCAGTTATTTGGAGAAAGTAAGTCTTCTCAAAAGCTTACCGCAGGTTGCCACAAATTGAGACTAGGTTCAGTTCAAGGTGAGCGTCGATTCAGAAGATCTTCAACAGTGAACAAATAGGACGCGTTCAAATAATTCTCATTGAAAGACTTCGCTGAAGTATCAAAGGTAATACAAAGAAAAAAACTCAAATCAGTTTTCACAATTTTTTAAAGTTTTTGTTGTGCTTTTGGCAGAAAATTAGATAGTAATCGGATCAAAGATATATCAAGACTTGCAACATCTGGAATTAAACACCTCTTTGAGCTGTAAGTATACAAATGACTTTCTTTGAGTAGACGTTTCCAGTTTGTTTCCTGCAGTAAATTCTTGGGATCAGATTCATTGGTGCGAGCGTGATCCATATTTCCAGTCCGTGCAGATGCCATGTCTGTTTGCAGGACAGCGTAGTAGATCGAATTTCCCCTTACAGAAACTTCAAACTAGTGGTTAACAAACAATTAGTTCAAACGTCAGCTACGACACGAAGCACGCGCAAAGATATGTCAGCAAACAAGAACCAACTATTGACACCGAGCTTTTTTCGTGTATACAATATTTCCTGCGTGCTCCATATCATTATGAATGCACGCTGGTACAAGAAACAATGGTAAAATATTAGAGAAAGCGACTTAATTTTCTCTATAGCAATAAAGTTTGTCTTTCCTCAAATTTGGGTGCAATAATCAAATTCTTTCTTACGCTTTAGAACATCATTTTGGACTTTTGACATCGAGTAGTTTTCGAAGATAAAGTTAGTGGTGTTTCGTCGAAAGCAATTACTTTATTAAAAAGTAAAAGATGCAAAATGCAGGTTTTCAAAAGATCAAGAGTGCAATTAGAGTAAACGAGTCGACAGTTTTCAGGCTTTGAAAAAAATTAAGAGTGCCTTTTTCATTCCAAATTGCACGTGAATGATTCTTTATTACCTTTAACAAAATAATCATGCAAAAGCAAAGAGCATATCACGTGCAAACTGATTCATTCAAAATTTGCACATGCTCTTGTGTTTTCAGTCAAAAGTGCCGCGTTCAGTCAAAGAAACGATATTCTATTATGTTTCATTATAGTCATTAATTTTTATATCAAAAGCCCCGATACACATTCTGTTGCCTCTTTTCGAATTACAAATTGCTTTTCTCGTGCATTGTTTGGTCAAAAAATGCATTTCGCAAGTCAATCAGTTTAAGGTATTTTTTTCTTATTTAAGTATTGTGTAAGCCTTAACGTTCCTCGATGTTAAGCTTATCGGATAAAATTTTAAGTTTAAAAAAAATAACACTTTTATCTTGTAGGTTGCTGGCCAGTAATGAAATCGATTATCTTCCACCAAACATATTTCAAAACATTTTCATTATGGACTCCATGTAAGTAAGATTTTATTCAATAACAGACAAGGAAAGTCAAACTGTTCATGGATTTTTATACTAGTTATGTAACCCCCTTGAGTGGTATACCGTAGAATATCCCACGAGTTTTTGTATTTTCTCGGTATATGCATACCCCTCTGATCTCCGTCGACCTTTCGAATCTCCCGAAAATAAAGTGATAATGGCATAGTAGTCATCCAATTAGGCTGGGGGAATTTCTGTCAGACCTCTTTCCTTTAAAAATGAGGTAGTTCTTGAATTAAGTTGACAAAATTGCTGTCATCCGAACTCGTTTTCTCCACTGCGCTTAAGTTTCTTCACTTTTCAGCGAAAACATCAACTTCTTGATCAGTCAGCCATACCTTTTTGGTTAAATATTTATTTTTACTGAGTTTCCGACCTCATGATTAACGTCCTAGGAAAATTTGGCTCAGAAACGACTCAAAGAACACCTAAAATAAACTGGAATAATTTCGGCAGAATAAGATCGGAAAGGGCGGCTGCAATACTTTAAAATATACTACTGATTTCTTTTAATTCTGGTTGGTTGTATTTTTTGATAGCATGGTTCCAATAGTTATATAAGTAAACGCAGTAGATGCGTCTGTTTCTTATCCCTAATCTTATTCATGTTATCTTCCTCATAGTGACTTGTCATTCAACAAATTGCAGTCCATACCAGATGGCCTATTCAATAAGCTTGGAAAATTACAAACTTTGTGAGTAAACATTCAGAACACTTTTCCCAAGTTAATGATAAATTGTATTTTGTTGTTAGCAGCAATATCCTGTTGGAAAATGAACATTGTTTTCGATAATTTCTTGCTTATTTGCCCTCCTCCCTTAAAACCAGCCACACAAAAGCGCTGTGAAAATTAAAGCTAACTGATTCTACTTTTTACACAAATGTTATTTGCTTTCTGGGAGGTTATATCATAAAAATACTTCGATCCGATGTCGCAAACCTAAATGTGACTTGCCCTGCTTCACAAAAAGTGATATCGTTATTAATATCATTACAGTTATCATCATAACCATTATTATTGTTATTCAAACGGTACAATTGTTCACAATGCTCTTTTTTCTAAATCAAGGATGATTAACTTCAACAACATCTCCAACATCAACAATCGCACTTTTGAGGGACTTTCAAGCTTGAAGACACTGTAAGCTCCTTTTTTGGTTTTTCATGTCTGTAATCCCTCCTGACTGATTAACTCACTCACTAATCAATAAATTGCCTCTTGGTTTTTATTTATCTATTTATTACGTTATTCAATCATATTACGTCTACAATCCTTTCTTAAATAGATTTTGTGTTTAATACTCTTTTTCAATTTACAGCATGCTGATAAAAAACAAACTGACATTTATTTCCAACGGTGCTTTCGATGAAACTGCTTTGCAATCAGTGTAAGTACATGTACGTTTTATAATGTTAACGTATATCCTGGAATATAATAAGGAAACAGAATATAATATTCAAGGAAACCAGTAAAGTAAAACAGAGGTGCATTGTAATACACGCAGGGCATGACATGGATGACAACGTCTATATATCAACATGGTTGATATATAGACGTCCCATAAACATGAATGTTTCAATGCGTAACATAGATTACAAGCACTGAGTCCTGTTGGTGTTAACAATATGAGAAATTTGACTTGCTTGGGTTTGTTTTTTTTTGTTTAGTTTTTGTTATCATTTCTTCCTTTATATAGTTTTCTTCACAGTAATGCCATCAAAACGATTGGAAGTGAATCCTTTAGTAGACTTAACCTGAAACAACTGTAAGTAAATTGAAAAATAAAGTGAAGTTTTAAACGCTGCAATGAAATGTATTAATCTAGCTTACCACTTTGGCTTCAAGAGGATCATTGATCTGCTTTTATGGAGATGTTACCATTTGAGACTTTCTTAATCCTTTACACCCTGAGAGTGAATATTCTCCATACTGATTTGTATACGTTTTGTAAGGTGCTGGTAAGGAGAATTGTTTAACAATTAAGAGCTTCTTCGGTTGGCGATCACCTCTATTCTTCTCCCGACCTAAATGTTTATTTCGTGGATGATATTGTTAAGAGAAATTGGATACTGGTCACTCTAAGGGTTCAAAGGGTAAATTTTGACCAATGTAAGAGGTGATTTTAGATATATGAAATTCATATATTTGCACTGTGGTCAAGAAATGAATGTAAGAGATCCTAGCAGCTAAGAATACTACTGAAACGAGTAGTTGAAAATAGGACCTGGAAAAATTTCAGGCCCGTACGGGATTTGAACCAATGACCTTTGCGATACCGGTGCAGTAAAAACGGTAGCCGCATCAACCATATGGTAAAAAAAAAAAAGACAAAAAACAATAAAACACCATGTCTCTATAATTATGTGTAGGCTTGGGTTAATCATTAACTTCATTATTCACATATTTTTCAGTACTATCTTTGATAATCCTCTACACTCATTACCAGATGGAATGTTCGACAAAATGGACACCGAAACCAAAGTGTAAGTGAATCCAAAGCACTCATTTGAATAGTTTATAGATGACTATCGCTTTTCGAAAGGCCACATCTTGATTTAATGCAGATCGTCAAGGCTGAAGGAGAGATTAATAAGCTTTTAAATCTAAGCTGATCTCACTGTTGTTTTTCCATCTGTTGATTTTCGTATAAGGATATGCGGTTTCGTATTGGGTAACGCAGTGGAATCAAATTGAACAGACTGGGTACGAGACAAGCTAAGCAAATTTATTATATGGTGTTCTCGAGCGGGAGATTCTACTCCATAAGACTATTTACACCTATAAGAATAAATTTGCACGTGAAAATTAGACAAATGGGGCTAAGGTCCTGGAGAAACCATGGTGCCGTGTGGGTGGGGGGAGGTGGGAGGGGGGGAGGCAGGAAGGAGACGGGGGGAAGGGGTCTTACAAGATAACCTGACTACAGTAAGCTGACCTTGAGAGCGTTGGCCCATCGGTAGATCGAATACTCGTCCCTTTATGGTACAAAAACCTCGATAAACGACCACCGTTGGTGGGGACCACAGATCTTGAGAGTATCGCTCCTGCAATAAAGTTATCATCAAAATAATCTACAGATCGTTGACGTGTAAAAACCTTCTTCAGCTGCCCAGAGGACAGTATCAGTCAGTAATGTGAGTATGTTAACGTTTCAAGATGACTTATTTCATATATTATGTCTTGGCATCTGTACTATTAGATTCATTGTTTCCAGACGATGCACTTAAGTCAGGAGCCCCTAATGGCTCCTGCTAAAGTCTACTGAATTGAATATTTGTTATTGTTAGAATTTCAAGTGCTTTTAATATTTTGCTATTTTCTTAAACTTAAGTGACTGTGCCCCCTCCACCACATTCCATATACTTTTAACCGGAAAAGAATTTGTCTACATTGGTGGCCTGAAAAGTTCAGGCTTTGAGTGCCATCCCTGTAAGCCTCGTCCCAGAGGCTCCGGATGTCGTAACTGCTCTCTTTGTCAAGTTGGTTATTTCATGTACCGCAAACAGATGTGTGTCAAGTGTCCTGCAGGTGATAAAAGAGATTTAAAATGCTTCATGTCATAGTTAAATAATTTTGGAACAACAGCAACATAACTAGAGAAAATTCGAGGCTTTGTTAGTTACGTTCTTTTAATAGAAGAGGTCTCAAGCTTGGTCAATCCAAGTGCTAGTATCCTAACTGAAATTTTCCTTTATCCCATTGTCGTTTCCTTTGCTATCGTTTTAAAGTTTTCATTCTCGCTTTCTTTTTTTCATTAGTTGGTTTTTCGTGTTAAGTGAGCTGATGGTTGTAGGGCCACTGCCAATAAGGCCAGTTTTCACTCATAATCAGTTTTATGTCGTTGCATCCTTCTTACATAATATCTGGTGGCTACCGTTTCATTTCCGTTTTAGTTTCTTTTCCGGTTTTACGTTACGTTCCGTGTCACGTGACAATTTCACGTTTTTTGACATTTTGGAGAGAGTTTTACCTTCGTGTTGCTGTTTTAGTTCGCAAAATAGTTCTTTAACGTGGTTGCGATTGTGATCGTGATTGCGTTATTGCGATTTCCCTTTTTCTTGTACGTTATCTTGTAACGCTACACACGGATTAAAGGGGAAAGCCACATATCTTCACAGGTGGTTTTTATCAGGATGAAATGGGACAACTTAATTGCAAAAGATGCAGTATTGGTACATTTGTGTCTGAAACGCGACGTCCTGGGACAAGTTCTACGGACTGTGTGGCATGTCCATATGGTAACTGATGTTTTGTCTTTGAGACACTCTTAAGATTTTTCACCATCAAAACCTCTCTCTTCAGGACATTCCATGTGTGTTTTATAGCGTTGCAGGGAAAAGAAAATGTCTATTCTCAACCCAAAACGGGAACGGCTGGCAAATTAATTTCTCGCCAGTTTGAGTACCGCTGAACTTCATTTTGTGTCCTCGGAGCTAATTCTTAACTAACTGTAAGCGGTTTGATGGGTTGAATTTACTTTTAAGGTTGGTTTTGCGCCTTTGTAAGAAATAATGTTAATAAACTATTTATCTAAATTGCAGGTACTCTCTCCAACGAGACTGCGGAATATCGAGCATGCAGATGCCTTCAAAACTTTTATCGGCTGGATCGTTTTGGCCCGTGCTCAGCATGTCCACTACACGGTTTTGTTTGTGAGAAGGATACAGCGATACTTGCTCCTAACTTCTTCTGGAAATGGTCAAATCAGTCTGAAAAACAACTCTTCAAAGGTTTTGTTAACAACATCCACTCTTCTAAACCAGATTACGACACGTCATATTCTACGTTTAATACTTTACTTCCAAAGCCACTCAAATGTCCTTATGCCAAGTCTTGCGAGGGTGGAATCGACTCTGAATGCCACCATGGATATAAAGGAGTTTTGTGTGCAACCTGCTCTAACGGCTTTTACTTCCGATTTCACACTTGCTTGAAATGTCCTCGGTTAACTGTAACAGTTACTTCTTCCATCTTAGTAATTGCTCTTTTTGTTGCTGTGTTTCTAATGGTTCTTTGGGGTGACTCCAAACGTGCAGAGAATAACCGGACGGTTGCAGATGTCGTCATGTCGTGCTTTAAGATTGTGATTGGTTTTTACCAAGTCATTGCTGGAATCTTCTCGGCATTAGCGAAAGTCCAGTGGCCAGTCATTTTGATCTCAACGGAGAAGGTTCTAAAAGTGTTTGAAGGGAACATCTTGCAGTTTGCGCCACTAAGCTGCATTCATTCTTCCCTGCGTCTCGATGAGCTCGGAAAGTTCACAGTGATCGTTGCTTTGAATGTCCTACTTGTCGGCTTGATTTTCCTTTATCTTTTCGTTAAAAGACGCTACATTATAAACATAACTGACCGAGCCGAAAGCCAAAAAATAAGGGAAATTAAGAGTTTGAAGAAATCTTGCTATCGGAACATTTTCCTATTGTTGTTGACGACCTACCCCACGACGAGCAAATCGATTATTCAGATTCTGCCTCTTCCTGGTGCGTGTGTAGAAACGTGTTTCTCTAAAGAAAAGCTCGACTGTATCTTCCTGCTGAGAGCTGACTACTCCATCCAGTGTTTCACTCCTCGCCACAGCTTGTATTGGCTCATGGCCTCTATTCTGGCATTATATCCCGTGGGATTTCCACTTTTGGCTTTGTTTCTCACTTACAAATATCGTGAGTCCCACGAAAACGAAGCAGTCTCTTTCGGGCTCAGAGTATTCTTTGAAAACTACAAGAAGAAATTTTGGTTTTGGGAGGTCATAGAGATGTACCGAAAACTGATATTGATCTCATTGATTTTCCTATTTGGATCTAAAAGCCTTCCTCAAATAGGCCTCACAGTTCTGACAGTCAGCGTCTTTGGAGTGCTCTACACCGTGTTCCGACCAATCAAGGACAAGTTTGAAGACAGCTTACAAACATTTGTTCTTTGGATAATTTTCTTTGACGTTTGTCTTGGTGCAGTTTACACAAACTGGGATGAGAGTCAAGGAGGGGACAAGAACGACTCCATCTTTGTAAATGTCCTGTTCGTGGTCCTTAACGCCTCTGTATTATTAATTGCCATTGGTAAGTCACAGTGCTGCTCTTTACGTTTTATGGATTAATTTAACTTTACTTTCAAATATTAAAAGTGCAAATAGCAATTACTGGGAAGTTTTAAGGAAGTGGGATGTCTAAATGTCGCATCTGTGGAATTTAGCATCATACGTTGTGTATATTTAGGCATTTCCACTTTGCTTTTTCATATTGCTTCACATTTTGTCTTTCCCGTTTTAGTTATGTTATGACTTAGAATTAAGTGTTTTTGTTACTTCGGAGAAATCTTGCATATCATTGTTTAAAAGCAATTATGCAACATAGCTGGTACTCTTCGGTAGAAAGCTTTGCAGTTATCGTTTATCATACAACCTGATTGGATTAGTGAATATTACTGGTTGCTCAGATCACTAAGTTGTGCTCAGTTATTCAAGCAGCTGGAACGAAAACTGTCCATATATATCTTGCTTGAGAGTCATGCCTTATCAAATACCAAGAAAACGCCTCAGTGAATCTAATAAGCTTCTATTTTATACATACTGAGATTAATACTGTGAAGTACTATTGTTCGTGTCTCTGATTGGACGAAAGATATATTTGAACAATCGTTCGCTTCCCATCTTTGAAATGGGTCGGTCATTAAGAAAAAATGAGGAGAATGCACTCCCTCCCGTAGCCTAAAAAAAGTCAGAGTACGAGTTATTGGGAAATTTTGGTTAACCCTAACCCTAAGAGGTTCCTCGTTAACACTTTATACAAAAATACAAACGTTATTGAAAAATTGATAATTATGCTATTCCGTTCTTATCTTTTACTGCGTCAGGAAAGGGAATATCACATGTGAAGTTATTTCGCAAGTACTTTACCGTCTGCCCGATGAGACGTTTCAATTTCCTTCGCCAAGGACTGGCGATTCTTAAGAATAAAGCGGTCACCACAACACCTGAAGAATCATGCTTGATCGAGGATAGCACCTAAGAGCCTCGCCGATATATCTTATCTATACCGTTGTAACATATCTCGAAAAAAACAATAATAACAACAAGAACAACACCAATAACGGAAACATAGTTGAGGGGGTTTACCTTGGACGGCTTGATAACTTCTTTCACGTTAACGCTCATAATTAAGCTTTAGCACCCCCCTATCCTCGGTAACTTAACGGCTTTGACTGTCGTCCGTGCCTTAGGGGTGTGGAATTTGAACCTTGCTTGACTGGGTTGGGAATTTAGCAAGGAACGAGTTGCCAGTAATCAGATCCTTTTGTTAGCGTAACCTTGTTTTGACGTAATAGTACACGATTTGATGAGAATACATCGCTTTTTCGCTGCCATTTTATTACAAATGGATTTATGTAATGTCGATGCAAGGGAAGCGTACGCTTTGTGTGATTAATCATGAAACATCTAATAAAATATACCGATTATCCTCTCATCTTGCGTAGGGTTTATTGTGAAATTGACATCACGCAATGGTCTCAAATATCACACAATTAATGGCTCATTTACATTTACATGTACGTGGGAGACCCCAGGTAGGTTAGGTTACCTACGTATTGGGGGGAAGGGGGAGGGGGAAGGGGGGAACCGGGTCAAAACCGGGCTGTCCCTATAATCTCTTAATTTATCTTGATCATGTTGACATGATAGATGGGGTGACCCGCCTAGGCGGGTTGCCCGGTCTGTTGGTAAGGGTAACCCTGTCATCCGGGGTGACAATTTGCATTGTAAAAGTCTCAAGGTGAGGCAACCCGCTTGTCCTCTATGAGCCACCGTAGAAACACGGGTGTTTTAAAACTTTTTACATTTCCGAGCCGTCCCACGCAGAGCTAAAACGTTAAAACACTATTTTTTTACGTCCTGTTAGCAATGAAACATCGACAACGATCTAATTACGTTTTTACTTTGAACTCAACACTACATTCACATATAACACCGAAGTGAAGACATTGTACCGTCAGAAACGGTAAACGCATGGCGAAATAATGGCGAAAATCTTAAAGGACGATAAAATACTGACGTTTTTTGGCAATTTTTCACCATCGCAGTTTAACTCCTTAAGGGCCCATGATTGCAAATATCGAGAATCGCTGGCCAGTCTTAAAAAAAAAATCGAAAAATTCTGATAATTTGCCTGGAAAACCCTTTAAGGGAGATATATTCAAAAAAATTATTTCAAAGTTTGAAAAGTCAAATGTGTCCGAGGAAATGGGGAAAACTAAAATTCGGGTTTTTACCTAATTAATTATGCAAAAAATTCAATAAAATTGACCAACTTTAGTGTGCTAGTACAGAGGAAGGATGTTTCGTAAGGGATCGGGGGTGTTTTTACTTCAAAATATAATTAATTTTATCTTTATTTGTGGATTTTTTAGGGGCTCTGGTTTAATTTTAAAATTCAAATGATTTTTTAACAAAGTACTCTCAAACACTTGTTTTAAAAAGCGAAAAATCGAGCAACTTCAAGCTTTCAAAACGCGTCTTGGTATGTGAGAAATCATGTCAAACTGCATGCTGGCACAAAGTTTGGTCCTTATAAAAAAATAATTTGAAATAAAAAATTTGGGTAATTCAGAAAAGTGCCGGCAAAATAAAAGAGTTTGTGACGCACTGTGGCTAAGGTCAGGAATTTGCATGATGCAAATCAGTTGTAGAAATCGTACTTGAGAGCTACGAAGTAAACAAGATAGTTAAAGATGATTAAAAAACTCTTTGATTTGGAAATGATATGAAATTATAGAATAAAAAAATTCGTAGACGTTGCTGAAGAGGGCTGTAAATTGATGTGTAGATACGAAATTTTCTGTTAATTTGAATTGCAGAAGACTCTGTTATTGTTGACACGCCATTTCAACAGCACCACCGACACCTAAATATAGATAAGAGCCACCTTATAGTTTACCATTTTTGTTGACTAGCTGTTTATTATCGACATCATTCTAAGTTGAATAGCTACGTTTTCTGCAACTGCGATGATATTATAAACAAAGTCACGCAACACCGCAAGCTTCTGCTGTGTAGCTTTTCACCTCAAGATAGCAGCCCAACTATTTTCATGCTATTTACTCTTATCTTTTTCGGAAAAATGGCCACATTTCTGTCATAAAACTTGATAAAAAGAACTTACGTCACTGTTGCAGTCCGGGCGATAATTCTCTGTGATGCAATCACGGTCTTTTTCTTAAAGGTAAACACGTGCGAGGTTTTTCATAGAGCATAAACAGAAAACGATGTTATTCTGTAGCTTTACTTCTCTTCTTGGGTGGGGGGCTAGTGGTGCAAGTGCTGAAAATCCAAACGTGGCCGACTTTGTCGAATTGAAAGACTGTCCTAGGGATCAAGTGTTTCCATGTCCAAAAGAGGGCTGCACGCATAGTTTCAGTTCCAACGGCGCTCTTCTCCAGAAAAGCATCTCGCGTTAGGAACATGCACAAAGACGGTTGAAAGGGAGACACTTCTTGATAAAGCGAAGGTTAAATATGCTGCAAGGCTCGAGGAAGGTTCAAGTTCCGTGCCAACTACTCCTCTACCTCCTGAAACCTGTCTTCGTAACACTGGTATCTAATACCGCCTGAAGGCTTCGCTTTAAAACAAGTATAGAAAGTTTACCGGTTTAACGAAAAGCAACGAGAGTACCTGACCGCTAGATTTACCATCGGACAAGAAAGCGGTAAGAAGGTCGACGCAGAAATTGTTGCAACAGAAATGAGAAGAGGAAATGGATTGAACGGGGAACGCTTGTTCAGTGTCTCTGAGTTTTTGACAACTCAACGAGTAGCTTCATTTTTTTCCAGAATGACAGCAAAAGTGAAATAGCAGACAGCCCCCTGCGCTCAAGCTGTAACTGGGCAAGATCTGGTTGCGATGGAGGAATAATTTAATTTGTCAAATACTAAGGAGTCTATTTTTTAGCAGTTAAATGTAATTCATCCTATTCATTACCAACAGTACAACATCTGTTCCATGGTCGAGAATAACACACTCAAAACTCTCAAACTTGCAATCTTAAAATTCCTTTTGCGAGAGTTTCAATATTGCGTTACCACCTGGGGTTGATCAGAGGAAAAGACATCTTACATCGCTCCGCTCGAAGACCTTGTTAGATGCTGCTCTTACAGTGCAGTTTAAAAGGCAAATGGCAAAAGGCTGCTTCAAAAAATTGAGTTTTATATGAACGTTGATATAAAACAGGGGCCGTGGAGCATATTTTGGATCGGAGGAGCTATTGTAGTTCCCACGTAGTGTGAGCTCATTGGCACCAACTTATCTATGAGGGTCCTGGGGCCTCCTCTCTGAGGAGGGCCTCCTTTTGTCTGTTTCTTATTACGCCTTTCTTAGTACAGAAAGACTGCTGACAGGATGTCCTGAGGTATGCTCCCCCGGCAAATTTTGAAATCTAGAGCTTCTGAAATCACCGGAAACGCGTTTCAATCCTAAGAAAAATTTGTCAAATTTCTTAATACAAAGATTAAAATAAATAATGATGATAATACTAAATTGTTCTAGGTGGGGCTACAGCCCACTCAACCCTATAGCTCCGCGGTCCCCGTATTAAAGGCGCAAACCGGAAATGAAGAAGTCCCCTTCGAACCGCACTTGGTAGTCAGACAGGATCAGGCCGGCTGGATGTTGTTCGATAAAGACTTATAAAATAATTTATACAAGTAATATAAAACAAAATCTATAGGACAGGGTGCTTTAGAATGGAGTTTTGACGAAAAAAGGATCCTGTCCGCTTTCTTTGATCCAACGTGACAATTGTCACGCAATTGAAACATTTTGCTTTTCGTCAAGACAGTTAGTTACGAGAAATGAAACACAAAACTCGTTGGCTTGAAAAATGAATTAAACGCTATTAAATACTGGTCATTATTCTTGTAAATTTTATGCTGTAGCCGTCAAAAGAGCCTTTCCTACATCAGAACTGTTAGGCGGTACAATTTCTACAACTGTTTTGCATCATGCAAATTCGTGATATCTGGCTACAGTGCGTCGCAAACCTTTCTGTTTTGCCGGCATGTTTCTGAATTACCCAGATTTTTTATTTCATATTATTTTAGTATAAGGACCAAACTTTGTACCAGCATGTAGTTTGACATGATGTCACCCATACCAAGACGCGTTTTGAAGGCTTGAAGTTGCTCGATTTTTCTCTTTTTGCAACAAGCGTTTGACAGCACTTTGTTAAAAAAAAAACTGTGAATTTTAAAATTGAACCAAAGCTCCTTAAAATGTCACAACTAAAAATCAAATGAATTATACTTTGAAGTAAAAACATCCCCGATTTCTTGCGAAACATACTCGTTCAGTACTAGCACGCTAGAATTGGTCAATTTTACTGTATTTTTTGCATAATTAATTAGGTAAAAACCAAAATTTTCGTTTTTCCCCATTTCCTCGGACACATTTGAATTTTCAAACTTTGAAATATCTTTTTTGAATATATCTCCCTAAAAGGGTTTTCCAGGCAAATTATCAGAATTTTCGATTTTTTTAACCTGGCCAGCGATTCTCGATATTTACAGTCACGGCCTCTTAATTACAAATGCGATAACAACCGCGAGAAACTTCACCCAGCATCCTGGGGTTGTAGTATTGTATGTAAACGCGGGCTTCTGATCGACCTCGGTTAGGCGGGTTACCTCACCTACCTGGGGTAACCCACGTCCATGTAAACAGGCCTTAACTTTAGATCTCTAAGAAATACCTCAATACAATCTTATTAGTTGTATTTATGTGTGTACATCCTGTTTCGTACTTGTCAAGATTTTCGATAAGTAAATTACGGCGGCTGAAAATATACTTCCTCAAAGAAGAGCACGTGAACTGAAAAACATGACATCTATGGTAACGACGAACGACAAAAAAGGTCAACTAAGTTGCCACTAAGTTTCTGGTGGACCCAGTAGAAAATTGGAAAAAAATATTTTATGTCATCTGAGGCAAGAGATTATAAACTCTTGGTCATGGCTACTACAA